TTTCTTTCTCTCTCTCTCTCTCTCTCTCTCTCTCTCTCTCTCTCTCTCTCTCTCCCCCGCCCCCTCTCTCTTTCTCTTTCTCTTTCTCTCTTTCTTTCTTTTGGGTATGGGCATTACTATAGATTAAATCCAGGGCCTTATTTGAAACTATATCTTCAGCCCTTTTAATTGTACTATGAGACTAAGTTGCCCAGGTTGGGCTCAAACTTGCAATACTCCTGCCTGCTTCAGCCTCCCAAGTAATTAGTATTATAGAAGTGCATTATTGTGCCAGGCAAACCTATAGCGTTTTTTATGCTTGGTTTTATTTTTTTTAGAAGTCACTTTAGTGACACTGAAAAATTTCCATGCATCATTTTCTTTCTTTCTTTCTTTTTTTTTTTTTTGGTACCGGGAATTGAACTCACTACCTTGCACTTGCCAGGCAGGTGCTATGCAGCTCAGCTAAATCCCCAGCCCTCATTTTCTAATAAACAATGATTTTTCTGTACAATTTGTTCTCTTCCTTTATAATCAAATAAAGCCAAAAACCTGTAGTTGTTTCTGATATTTTGGAATTACATTTTCTTTTGTCAACACTGAGAAGGAACATTTCTTTAGAAACCATATCATGCATTTAATAAATGCTTTAGAAAATTTTTCTGTCCCTTGCTTCCTTTTCATTTCTTCTCTATGTAGATCATACTAGCTGCAGGACCCTGTGCTTACTCATATCACTTCTCAAAACCCCAGTTTTACTGTTTGTAAATATCAAATATCAGTCTTACATACCTACAAAAACTGTAAGAAGAATTCAATAAAGCCTTTATAAGCTATGAAAAGCTCAGCAAATGCAAGAACTTCTTGTTATTAAGACAAAGATCAGCAAAGGCAATTTAATAGATCAACAAAGATGGTGGAAATTGGAGGTGAGTACTGTGTGCTTAGTATTCAACAGTCGAGTGTAAAGCTTAAATTAGTAGAGCCAAATGTATAGGTTGAGGCAAGTTCTAGTCAACGTTTTTTTAGTGGCAGAGTCCTCAGAACAAATGATTTTCCAGTATGTGGTACATACTGTTGCCAGAGTATTTTCACCTACTTTAGCTCATTTAATCCCCACGACACCTCTACCAACCCGTATCATTACCTCTATTTTATAGATGCAAGTTCAGGTATAATTTGCCTCTATGCGCAGTGGTTGAGGCAGAGTAAAAGAGCGATGCTTATGCCATTGTGCTTTTCACTCTAATGAGCTCCTCCACTATAAATCTGCCAGTTTGTCCAAAGAATAATTAATCCTGTCAGGTTTTATAGCACTTTGCTGTAATTTCAAGTTTGCTTTAGATGCCTTTGAGTCCCGTACATAAACTCCCCCAGCTTGTGACATGTAGAATCTATTTTCCGGCCCTCTGGCTATTTCAGTAACAAAATCTAAGTTTTTCAGTGAGCTTGATTATCAGACAGGAAGAAAAATAGCAGAGATTCTAGTTAACCTCTCTAAGTAGAGAGGAAAGAAAAAGAGGTCCTGTGATCACTGCCCGTGATAACCCCATTTCTTAAGAAAGCATGTTATTGGTAAGTACCTGGAGGTTCTCCAATAATGCAAGGATTATATAGCCAAGTTCTTTTTTTTTTTTGAGTGCTGGGAATCAAACTCATGTGAGGCAAGCGCTTCACCACTGAGCTATAGCCCAGCCCCAGCCAACTCTTAGAGTGAGGGGACTGTTTCATGACTTTGAGGAGGGGAGAAGTAAGGTTGAAAAGTGGAAGTTGCTGTAGATTTGCCACTGCAAAGGAGAATGACAATGTGACACCATCTCAGCAGTAATGTGAAGTGGACCTGAGGGGTAGAGACAAGAGGCTGACCTTATACATTGAACTTCGGCATGGAAAATGCCTAGTGTAGTGGTTACTAGGGAGAGCTCTGGTACTAGATCATCTAGTTTCAAATTTAAACTTCACCTTTGGCTCATGTGACTTGAGGGAAGTTGTTTAACTTCTCAGGGTCTTAACTTCTGGCATTTAAAAGGGGACTAAAAATAGTACATACATGCAAGGATGACTGTAAGGGTTGTATGAGATAATGTGTATAAAGTGCTTAGCACTAAACAGTTCTTGGGATGCCCCGATGGCTAAATAAATGGTACATGGTATTAGTAGTAGTAGTAGTAATTATTATTATTTTTACTGACATTATGACCATTGTATCTGGCAAGGAAAAAACGTGCTCAAAGCATGCTTATTAATTTACCCCTCTGCCAGAGTGTCATGATGATTAAAGTGCATGGTGTGGTTCATGGTTTGGGTGGTGACAGTAGCTTGAGAAAGGTTGGGTGGTGGGAGAAAGTTTTGGTAAAATAGAATCCTTAGGACAAGAACATTTATTTGATAGTTAGGAAGAAGAGTTCAAGAGACCTCTTTTCAGTCTTAGCTCTACCATCAATAAGTTTTGTGAGCATGGACAGCTTATCTTTCTTTCTGCTTGTTATTTCCTCATTTTTAAAACTAAGGAGACAAGACCAGATAAGTGATGTTTGCTGTGGGTTGGGGGTTGTGGAATATGTCAGAAACTCCTCAAGTCTGGTATATCTGCACTTCCTTCCCCCACCTTCCCTTTGTCTCCAGGTTTTTGCTACCTTTGTAAAGAAAAATCAAGTCTTTATGGTAATCATATAATATATAAAGTCCCATATTGCACTAATGACAATCCAATAACCTAAAATCCAATGGGAGATTGTCTTTTTATTCATTTGGGAAAGTCCAGGTTGACCCACTCAGTGTACTTCAGCATCTTGTTTCGTGGGTTTATCCAGTGTCTGCCTCCAGAAGCCAAGTCTCCTATTTTTTAGGCTTACGTGTGTTGGGCTGATCCAGGAAATGCTATTTGACAGTTGGGGTCTGATTTTAGTAGTCTATAAATAGAAGCAAATTATTTTTGTAACCTTCTCTTAGTATTTACGTTGTACATTATGAAATTTTAAAGGGCACATTGGTAGATGATAGAGAATGTTGCTAGGATCATTCTGATAGAATTTTAAGGGAAGCTTTGCTAGTCCTGGTAGATAATATGGAAGGATTTTTCATCAGACGTAATGCCTGTGTGCATCTTAATCTATGATAGTAGCTCTGTGGACGATCTGTAATCTTCCAGTAATCAAATCTTCCTGGTACTTACCAAGGAATTAATGAGTAGCCACGGGCTGGTGAATAAGGTGGGTTGATGAAAAGGAATTGAGGAGAGAGAGATTAGTTGGGCCTCAGTAAGGGAAATGGAATTTTCTTATTTTATGAGGCATAGAATGAATAACAGACTGTTGACTCAGTCTGCTTAGGTAACTGAAGGAAGACAAATGCCAGGGACTCAGAAGTGTAGCTTTCGCAATTGTGAGTCAAGCACTCGGGACTCAGCACAGTACGGTGGAAGTGCACATCAGTAGGCATCATGACACCTTTGTTTCACACTCAGCTGACACTACCTTGTGCAATCTTGGGCAAGTTGGACGTTGGCTTCCCATTACATAAAGGGAATTTGCCCAGGATTTCCTCAAATATACCTGATACCTTCAATCCTTTGATGCTAAGATTTTATTGCACAATAGCTGTTGCTTATGGGCATTACAATATTACAGATGTGTCAGGTTGGATGAAGAGGATGAGGTGGGAAGAGAAGGTCTTACTAAATTAATCTGCACAGTAGAAAAGAAAGGTAGTCTGGAATGTTGGGATAATACAGCTTTCACCCTTAGCTTTCTATAAAATTGCTGGTCCTAGGAATACAGACTTAAAAATAATCCTGGACATTTTGGCTTACATCTATAACCCTAGCACTAGGGAAGCTGAGGCAGGAGGATCACCACGAGGTTGAGGCCAGCCAGGACTATATAGTGACTTTAAGACCAGCCTAGAATACATAGTGGGACCTTGTCTCAAAAAGCACCCCCTCAAAAAAAATGTGTGTGGAACTTGGAGTGGTAATTTTTCTTTAGAAGTAGAATATTTTTAACTAAGTAGGTATTTGTATGCATGAATCTTTTAAGTGTTGATGATAAAAGGAATATTCTTCAAGAGTAAAAAGATTACCTGTTTTCTGTGGTAGTAAAACACTGTTAGATTTTCTAAAGAGGGGATAGTTCAGACTTGCCCCTTAGAAACGCCACTCTTGCTGTGGGAAGTGTGAACAGTGGGTTGGAGCCAAGAAAGACTGGGTCAGGAGATCCTGAATGACGACATCTTTAACTAAGAAGTGGAAGAGAAGAGACTGCCTGGGGAAGGGAGGAGCTGAGGAAGTCTCCCAGCTGTTGGTCCGTAAAACTGGAAGGGCAATGGTGCTATTTACTGGCACAGGAAACAAAGGCAAAAGTGGGGCATTTGTGAGAGTAGAGATTCAGTAATTATGAAGAAATAGAGCACAGTTCTGAATTATTGAGGCTTAGGTGTAGGTCTTGATCTTTCTCAATAGCCAGATAACTTTCAAATATTTTCTGGTTTTTTTTTCTTTTTTCTCAGAGAAGAGTGTTTGTGTCACTATATTACTTGCTAGGGAAGATGATTCCTATGGAAACTAATGCTGTGGAGACTAATGATGTCATTCTCCCTCCCTCTCCCACACACCAATAAAAACACGTATGGGTCTGACTTCTTCAGGAAGATGGGTGTGTAAAGTCACTATATCCTGGTCACAGCATTTGGAAAAGTGTGTGTGGAGAGGGGGCTCAGGGGCTGCAGGTTTTTGTTTTGCTATGTTTTTACTGTTATTAGAAAGATGATACTTGATGTGTCCCATTGCAGTTATATTGGCTCCAAACTTGATTACTTCCATTTCCACTGTTCATAGGGGCACAGTGCTCCCCATTTTGGGTAGAAAGCACACAGAGAGCTCCCAATAGCATTATTAATCACACTTAATCACTTGATTATTTGAAGTAAGATAAAGTTACAATGTTTGTTATATTTTTCTTTCTTAGGAGATTTATAGATCTTCAAATCTTTCAAATCTGGGAAAAATGGCTTTCATTTGTTTGGATGTCAGATGCCTATGTATTTTTCTTCTTTGCAAAGCATTTGGCTATACTTTGTCTTCAAGCATGGAAATAAAAGGTAAACCACAAATTAAATGGATTTTAATGAGATAGTTTTAAAACAGGGTTCTTAATTGTCCTTTCAAGATACCTTACTGTAGTGTATAACCAGTAACTATTAGAACTGTTTCATGAAGCTCATGTACTAAAGATATGTCCTTAATAAACAGTTTCATGTATAAGGTAACGTTTTGGGGGATAAAAGTCAAATCAAAAAAAGACTTTTCTGACTTCTTGCATAATCTTTTCTAAAAAGTCAATTAAATATCTGAAACCTTCTTGCCTAGTTCTCAACTAACAGGAATCTTTCCTTGACAATTATCCTTAACTTTTATGACACTTAGATAAATAAGAAAAAATACAGAAATTTAAAGTAGAAACATACAGCCAAATATGGCAGCACATGTTTAGAATCCCAGCACTCTAGAAAGCTGAGGCAGGAGGATCATGAATTCAAGCTCATCCTGGACAAACTAGTGATGTAATGAGGCCTTACCTCAAAACAGAAAGGAGACTGGAGGTGTAGCTTAGTACAGATGCTCTGGGATCACTCTCCAGTATCAGAAAAAAAAAGTGAAATGTAAAAATAATCAGAATAATTCTTCATGTCTAATGAACTTTTCTTACTGAAGAGGGTAAGTAGAACAGTTAGGCATGGTGGCATATGTTTGCAACCCCAGAACTCTGGGAGGCTGAGGCAAGAGGATTGCAAATTTGAGATCAGCCTAGGTAATTTAGAAACTTAATGAGACCCTGCCTCAAAATACATAAAAGAGCATGACATGTAGCTCAGTGCAAAGGCCCTAGGTTCAATCCCCATACTAGAAAAAGAGAAGGTAATCAGAACAACACATATTTAACAAAGATTTCTAACCTTAAAAATATTCTCAAAAGATGTCTTTATCGGTACGTGGGGTAATCTGTGCTACAATTTTTTGTGTGTGGATTCTTTTTCTTGTCTTAGTTTTATGAAGAATTAAAATGAACAGCATGGTAGAAATGAGATGAAATTATTAGGAACAAGGCAAGATGGCAGCAGTACTATTGCACTACTAGATATGTTAGTAGGAACGTTTCTAGCTTTCTTTCTTTTTGGTGGTACCGGGAGCTGAACTCGGTCTTTGCACTGAGCTACATCTCCAGTCCTTTTTAAATTTTGCAACAGCGTCTTCCTGAGTTGTCTAGGCAGGGCTCAAACTTGTGATCCTCCTACCTTAGCTCCTCAGCGTACTGGGGTACAGACATACAGCACCATGTCCAGCAAGTTAAGTTGGAAGCATTCTTGAATGCGTGTGTGTTGCTTGTGTGTGTGTGTGTGTGTGTGTGTGTGTGTATGTTTATTGCTTTTTAAATCTCCAGATGGGGGAATCATTGTCTCTCAATGTCTCCCCTGCCTACCCCAAAATAAAAAAGATTAATTCCTGAAGTCAGTGCTACTTTTTCTTGAGTCTTATCAAAGACTGCCCTGGTTTGCCATCCTCTGGGATTGTATTTAGTTGATCAGAGGATTCTATTAATTAGAGTGGACTGAGATCTAAGATCTGTCTGTCCTCCAAATTCTTAAGACACTTAGTCATTATAGACATATTTTATATTTTCTCTCCCTTTGTTATGTCTGCCACAATATTATGTGCACTGAAATAGTGCTAATTTGTTCTTGCAATCAGAGAGATTTAGGTAATAAAGTATTTTTAGCAGAAGCCAAATTCTCATCCCCATGAACACAGAGAAAACTTCATGCTGAATTTTTTATTTCTGTGAATTAATTTCTTAATTCCTAAAAAGGAAAGGCATTTTTTTTCTTATGTGAATTCTTAAAGAGAGCACTGCAGTATAGCAGTAATCTAGGTTTATTTAACAGTTTTATTGTTTTTTTTAAGAGTAGGAGAAGTTATTGGAGGAAAGGAATGGGGGAAAAGGTATGGGGGAATGGGGAATAGGAATATCTTCTGAGAGACAGGAGGCATCCCAAATGGGTTGCCAATGAGCCCACCTCTCAAAGGAAGTTTTATAGAGCAAAGTCATAAGGCAGGTACAATGTGGGTCAAAATTATGATCAACCAATAAGATGGTAAGTATAGTTGCTTAGGTAATGTGGATCTAATGGTAGTGAGTGACATCATGAAGCTTAGCTGATCATCTATAGTCTTGGCCTTCTCTTTAGTCTTAGCAGTATTATTAATGTCTTATAGGTAGTTTTACATGCTTCCCTAAGGGGTGAACGGAGGCTTGGGCTGATTGGTATCACCCTTTTGAGATTTCCCATAATCTTATTGGGGTGGGCCATCCTCTCCCACCCAGTAAGACTAAGACTAAGTCTAAGACTAAGAATATAAGACTAACAATTTTTTTCTGAGTTGAACTTTTCATTTACTTATTTTTATGTATCTTCCTGAAATTTTTTTATTTTAAAGAGAAAAAACCAAAACAAAATAACAAAAACGAAGACAAAGGGGCTGGGGATTTAGCTCAGTGGCAAAGCGCCTGCCTGACAAGCGCAAGGTCATGAGTTCAGTTCCCGGTACCGGAGAAAAACCAAAAAAAATTAAAAAAAAATAAAAACGAAGACAAAAACAAAACAACACAAAAACTAAAAAATGATACAGAATTTCAAAACAAGATGATAGAAATCAACAATGGTTGCTGTATTACTTACTGTTATCTTCAAAGTAGTTGCTCAGATTATCAGATATAGGCATGCAAGATTGAGCAAACAATTAAACATTAACTGTTCCTTTCAATAAACAAATAGAAATTAGTAGTACAATTATCTTGGCTATCTTGTATATATATACATATTGTTTTTTCCTTTCTTTCTTTTTTCCTTTCCGTCATCCCAGTTCTTTCCTACTGAGCAGTTAATACTAACAGTTTTATTGTGCTATAACTTATATACTACAAAACTCACCTTTTTCAAATATGCTATTTGGTGGTTTTAAGAATATTCAGTAGTTATGAAATAACCACTGCTATCAAATTCCAGAATGTTTTCATCACTTCCCCAAACCCATGCCTATTAAGGAGTCCCACCGTATTCTCCCCTCCTTGTAGCCTTTGACAATCACTAATCTACTTTCTATCTCTACTGATGTTACTTATGAACAGAATCATACAATACATAGTCTTTCATGACTGGTTTCTTTCACCTGGCATAATGTTTCTGAACTCTCCCATGTAATAGCATGTATCAGTACTTCATTCTTCTTTATACCTACATGATACCCCATGGTATAGATGTTATGTTATGTTTATCTATTCATCAATTGTGGTACATGTGGAAGTAATCTCTATGTTTTGTTTGTTTTTTTTTTTTTTTTTACTAATCTCTATGTTTAGCAATCTTTGTCATAAAATAAAGGAAACAATAAAAGTATTTGCTTTTATTTCAGTTAATCCTCCTCAGGACTTCGAAATAGTGGATCCTGGATATTTAGGTTATCTTTATTTGCAATGGCAACCTCCTCTGGCTGTGGATAATTTTAAGGAATGCACAATAGAATATGAATTAAAATACCGAAACGTTGATAGTGAAAGATGGAAGGTAAGTACAGCATGTACTTACAATACCGAAGTGATCATTAAGTGTTTTGATTCCTCAACTTCACAGTCCACTCTAAATTTCGTATCTTAATAGTTCTAATTAGTATATAACAAGCTGCCAGGTCTACTTTTCTGTTCTGTGCATTCTGTTAAATATATTTTCACCTCATCCAGTGTTGAGACTACTATCGGAAATTCAGGGAAAAAAACTTGGTCCCACAGAACATGGCCTTGGAGAGCATTTTATGCATTTTACCATATTTTATAGTTACTTATTATATTATTCAATTTTTTGTTGCTCTAGCAAGAAACCTCAGGCTAGACAATATATAAAGAAAAAAGTGCGTTTAGCTCATATTTTTAGAGGCCGAAAGGCCAATATTCCGTGTCCTATTTTTTCAGCCTCTAGGAGGCCTCATGGTGGATCACATCCTAGTAGGAGTGAGTGAGGGGGAGAATCACACAGAGAGACAGGAAGCCAGGGAGTGGCTTTTATAACAAGCAGGAACATTACTATTTGATGTCACACAGACCTACCTAATTCTTTCTGAGAGCGTTGCCCCAGCGACCTAATTGCCTTCCCGCAGGCCCTACCTCTTTACTGTCCTACCCCCTGTCAACATGGCCACGCTGAGGGCCAGACTTTGAGCACAGGAACCCTTGGAGGGCGCTCAAACAGTACTCAGCTTACAGCACTCACATATTTAGACATGGGGTTGAGGCACAGCGGGCATGAGGTATCATTACGCTGGTTATTACAAGGACAAGACAGAGGGCAGTGCAAATGCAGGCATGTGGGATGACCTGGGCATTTGAGTGTAAAAGATCAAAGATAGATACCAGATCAAGATTCAGAAGCAGAAAAGGATATCTGCCATTTTGTTGAAGGCAAGATGAAAACAACAAAACATTTTTTCTGGTCATTAATTTAGAAAGTAACTAATATTTGTTGTATCTATTTGATTGGGTCAGATTTTTTCCCTCTATACAACACTGGAGAAAATGAACAAATTCTGTTTTTTAATATGTATAAAATAAATGTTTCTCCTGTTTTACATTATTTTTAGATGACTTTAATTGAATGGTTATGGGCTGGGAGTATAGTGTGTTTTGAGGATTATCTTAAAGCACAAAGAATGATTATTTTCAAACTTGGCTCTTGAAATTACACAGTTTGTACATTGGGAAGCTACTGATGTGGCTGACATAATTAGTAAGGGAGAACCTGTCCAGAAGGTGTTTATTGCAAAAGTTTAGGATAAAACATTCTCTTTTTATTCAGTTTGTCCTATTTGGCCCTAAAATAAATTGTGCTTGATTTCTCAGAAAAAATAGACATGCGTTGTGTATATACTACTGAACTGTGAGTTTTTTCTCCGTAGGGTCAAGTCTTATTTAGCTTTGTGTCTGCCCCACAGAACACAGCATGGTTCTTTGCAAATATTGTAGTAAGTTCTTAATGAAAATTTGTTGAATTCTTAACTATTTACATGGTTGGCAATCATGTTCATTCAAAGATTTCTGTTGTAGAAGGTATCCAGTTCAAACTGAACATTATCAAGTAACTTTGTGTACCAGACACTTTGTTAAGTATCAGGAGTCTAAGAATAAATAATATATGAGTTTCATCCTCAAGGAGCTTACAGTTTGTCCACTTTTCTCCAGTTACCTCCAGGATTTTACTTTCATGATTGCTGAAGGTTTCATAGCTATGTGAAAGATTACACATCATTTGCCATATAAGGCACATGTGGTATGTGCATATTATCTATTTAATTCCAAGTTGGTTATAGCTCAAGTTCTGGACATAGAGCCTTTCTTCCCTTCCAGAATTTTTGTTTTAAATGAGATGCTTAAATTCAACAGTTGCATCAAACGATACGATATACAAAGATGAGCTCTCCCAGAAATATATCTGGAGCTTTGTAGGAAATAATCATTGAGAGTATTGTAGATACTGGGAATTCACCAGGGTCATTAATGACTTCTTAGTCTTACTAATGCGATTCACAATAGCATGGCTGCTTCTAAGTTTGACTTCATCTTTTTTATCAAACAGACTATTGTTACTAAGAATCTACATTACAAAGATGGGTTTGATCTTAACAAGGGTGTTGAAGCAAAGATACACACGCTTTTATCAACGCATTGCACAAATGGATCAGAAGTTCGGAGTTCATGGTCAGAAGCTACTTATTGGAAATCTGAACCAGGTTAAAAAAAGAACTTTTTCACATTTAATACCACCGTAACAATCTATACAGGGAATAATTCTCTTAACTCTTATGTATGAGATTGTGTATGTCATAGATGTTAGCACAGTGTTGGACAAGATGGACTCTTTCTTAATAGTGAGTGTCTGGCCTTTTTGAATTGTTTAGCTCAGCAAACATGTTTGCCAAAACCTACATATTACTATAATAATGGGGCTGGGGATTTAGCTCAGCGGCACAGCTTCTGCCTGGCAAGCACGAGGTTGTGAGTTCAATTCCCGGTACCGGAAAAAAAAAAAAAAAAAAAAAAATTAAAAAAAACGAAAGAACTATAACAATATAGTTCCAAGTTTGGGAGTAGTATTAACAAGCTTGCATGAGTATTTACCCAATTGCTCAGAGCATCCTTGAATAATCAGTTTAATACTTCAGCATAGATGAGTGTCAGTAAATGAAGCCTCAACAATTTTTAGATTTGCATGTCTCACTTATAGTGAAGTGACTTTCAATGACTTCCTTCTGAAATAGTCCTCATTATGTTGATTGCTAAATGAAGTGGCAAGGCCAAAGGAAATAAATAAACTTATGTAGTGATTTCACAAATGATTCATCATCATGACCCTCATGCATTCACTATTCATTCATTTCTCAGGAAGTCTGGAGACTAAAATTCAGGATATGGATTGTGTGTATTACAACTGGCAATATTTACTGTGTTCTTGGAAACCTGGCATAGGTGTACACTTTGATACCAATTACACCTTGTTCTACTGGTAAGTATTTTTATACTTAGAATTCCATATTAGAAAAAGATCTACCCAATTAATTCATAGTGTGATAACTGTATTCCTACTAAATTAAATTCACTGTATTTATGAGAGATGTATTTAAGATAGTGATTATAATTATTTTGGGTTTCTAATGAGAGTAAATGATTTTAGGCTGCAGGTACTGCAAGGCATTCTACGTGTGATTTAAGGAATGTAATCACTGTTTCTGTACAGGATTATATTTTTGTATCCTTTAGACAGATGGAGTTATAAGAAGAAAAGGCATATTTCTGTTCTTGCCTTTAAAAAAAAACAGTTATCTTTTGGACCTGCCATGGTGGCACATGCCTGAAATCCCAGCACTTGGAAGGCTGAGGCAGGAGGATCTCTGTGAGTTCAAGGCTAGCCTGTGTTTTTTTTTTTTTTTTTTTTTTTTTTGGTTTTTCTCCGGTACCGGGAACCGAACTCACGACCTTGCGCTTGCCAGGCAGGCGCTTTTGCCGCTGAGCTAAATCCCCAGCCCCATGGCTAGCCTGTGTTACACAGTGGTTTCAAGGCCAGCCTGGACTATATAGTGACACCATGTCTCAAAACCTCCACCAAGTAAAAGCAGTTATCTATTAAACTAGATCTTTTTTCTGACTCCCTACATTTGTTAACCTCACAGAGACTTTTAGGCTTTGAGCCATTCTGACTTCTAATTCTTTCATTCCTTGTTTCATGGTGACACAATCATGTTCTGACACTTCTTTATAAAATGGCACATCTGTATTTTACTTCCCACCTCATTATAAGAATCCTGTAGGCTCCCCTCATTCTACACCTAGATGATTGCCATAGCCTGGCAAATGCTGTACGCCTGCCTTCCAGTCTCTACCCTTCTTATTCATTCTGCATATTGTGGTCAGCTTTAACTTCCTACCTTGTCAGTTTCATGTGCTATCTCCTTGTTACAAAATCTCTAGTCGCTACATATCCCCCCATCCCGTTATGCAGGGTAAAATGGAAGTTGCTACGTAAGTCTGTGCTGCACTATATCACTGCCTTTCCCACCACTGCCATCTACTACCCCAGCGTGAGTGCTCCATACCATTTAGATCCATCTCTGCATTTTTTCCTCACCCATGTCATGATCTTTTATGTCTTTGTGTGCATTGCCATCTAGAATGTCCTTTGTCTCTCTCTTCTCTTTCACCAACTCTTAACCATCCTCCAAGGCCTGTTTGCTATCCTATTTCATTGACTCTTTATTGATCATGTCAGCTTCTATTCAGCTTCTCTCCAAACTGCTACTTTTTAATAACTCTTAATTATTTATCACCTGGATGGTATTTAAATGTATGTGTGTGTGCTTTGTCTCTTCAAATTTTAAGGGATTGGTGGGCATGAATTTTTTCTTATACCACTATTGACTACCTCCAGAGTGCTATGCTCATGGTAGATTTCCACTAAATATGAAAAAATGAATAAGACAAATGAAGATAACATTGGTAAATTGATAGGTAAGTATCAGAAGTTAGGCATTTACTAAATAAAAGAAATATCAAGAAAGGACTTATTCATTAGCTTTCAAGCCCAAATTATCATGTCATCTTTCTCCTAAGAATCGGGCTCTAATTACTGTGCTAATGCCATTTAATTTGGTGGTATTGGACAAGTAACTTCCACTTTTGCCTCTCAGTTTCCTCATCTGGAATTGGATAGATAGCTTCCAAACGTCTCAATTGTCTGTTCATTAATTCAATAAATATTAAGCAAATAGTAAATGGCCAATACTTTTTTTAGATAGAAAGACAAAAGTGTGAATGAGACAAAGCGCTCACCTTCCTGTACAATGTAGCTCGTGTTTGACATAACTTTATCCTCAGTGAACTAGGAGGAATGAATATTAACATTTCAGAGACTGGGGCAGAAAAGAATGTGCTGAGGCTTTTCCACTGGTAGGAAACAAATCTGTGCAAAGTTAAACCTAGAAGTCAAGTCTCCCAAACTGTAATCAAGTGAACTAACCAGGAGACCACAACTTTGCAAATTTTGCCAGATGTAAATAGTAAGCATAAAGTTAATTTAGTAGAGTCCAGCTATTTTTAACATCTTATCAGCCTCTATATTGGCTTCATTTTCAAAGGGATGTTGGCTGGTTTTAAAGCTAATGTCACATTTTGCTCATAAGCTAATCTTTAGGAAAATAAATGAAGCATCTCTTTGCTTTGGAAATCAGTAAGTAACCCCTCATCCCTAATTCCCACTAGCCATATTGCTGAGATGAGGTTAACTTTAAATGATAGGGTAGGGTAACAGTTCTTGTTTAAAAGAATTGAAAATAAGACATTTATATGCCGAAGAACTTCTCCTGTTCTCCCTCCCGCAATAATTGCCTTTCCTTCTATTTATATCTTGATGTGTTTTGTACTCTCAAAGGGTTTTCATTCCATTTATTAGGCATAACAACATTTCTTGAGTCTGCTTTTAACTATGCTTTTAAAAATTAATTTTTAGGGGCTGGGGATTCAGCTCAGGGGCACAGTGCCTGCCTAGCAAGCGCAAGGTTGAGTTCGGTTCCCTGTACCAGAAAAAAACCAAAACCAAAAAATAAATAAATAAATAAGATATGTCATAGATCCCAACAGGGACTCTCAG